ATCATACTTTAAATGCAATTTATGTTCTTACTGATGGATTTGTAACATGACCATTGCATTTCTAGTAGAGAGAGATTCCCTGACAGAGCAAATTGGTGAGAATATTAGTTTTGCTACATGTTAACAACATAATTGTATTTAACTACATCTGGAAATGTTTAGTAATGCCATGGCAAGACGTTTTTGTTAACAGAGCAAAGCAATATTTTTCATGAGCCGGATTTGGATGGCAAATGGCAGTCGATGCTATCCATCTGAGCACACGCAACATGTTGTGTTAGCAAATCAACTTTTTTTGTTTAGTTGTATTGTTTCTGGATCAGCTTCTCAGCACATGTGATTGATTTATACTCCATTTTTATTCTGTTTGTTTATCCCTTAAGGTGTATATATCATGCCAGAAAAGTAAATGTGCTTCGTCCAAAGTTTAGTAAATTGATATTTGTTCTGAAATCTGTTAATGCATCTTCATTCTCCTCGACTTTAGGGGCGGTTGGGTATTCTAGTGGTTAAAGAGTTTGGGTTCGATTCCCTACATAGGTACAACGTGTGAAGCCCATTTATGGTGTCCATCGCCATGGTATTGCTGGAATATTGCTAAAAAGGTGTAAAATTAACTCACACATTCCTCGACATTAAAGCTGTATGCGGGTGGTTAGGTTAATGCGTTTGATTGTCACTCTGAAGTCCCTTAGTTCGATTCCCCACATGGGTACAATGTGTGAAGCCCATTTCTAGTGTCCCCCGCCGTGATATTGCTTGAATATTGCTCAAGGCAGAGTAAAACTACCATCACTCACTCACTAAAGTTGTATGCATGTTCTTATATAGCGTTTAGATTTTTGTTGTGTTTGCATGCTCGAATATTTCTCACACCTGGGCATATTTAATGTGATCGAGGATTGTTTATCTGTCAAGTGCTCATGAAACGCAATTGTTTTACTGTGAAAAACACTTGCGCAAAGCCGTTTCTTGCTGATAATTAACTTCCCCATGCGGTAGACATTCTGCAAAGAAGGATGGCGCAAAGCGAAGGTGCCAGTCATTTTAATGATTCCTCTCTCTCAACACTTTTTATACAACGTGGCAACACTAATGTCGATCGTCAATGTATGACGTCACATCAACAAGGCAACCATATTCGGTTGGTGCATCTACATAACTGCTACATAAACAACTCAGATGTTGCTTGGGCAGAGATAAAATAGACTCATAACCGTACCCTAAGAGTTTTCAAGTATCCATGAAGATCCGGGTAAGGAGTGATCTTCAGTAACCAATGCTTGTCGTAAGAGTCGATTAACGGTATCGGATGGTCAGGCTTGCTGACTTGGTTGTAACATGTCATCGTATCCCAATTGTGTAGATTAATGCTCATGCTGTTGATCACTGGATTACCTGGTTCAGACTTGATTATTTACAGACCACCGCCATATAGCTGGAATATTGCTGAGTGCGGCATAAAACTAAACTCACTCACTACGAGTTTGAGGAGCACCACATGTTCAATCGAAATAATTAAAAAACAAGGAAGAAAAAACAAACCAAAAAACAATACCAAATAATAGTTTCCTTCCTTCACGCATTAGTTTACTTGCCTAACAAGTAACTCTCATACTAATCTCAATGGAAATCCCACATTAGGATGTTTGATCAATACCCAGCAGGACAACTTGTTTCAGGAAGCAATCAAGGTACAATTTTCCCTTTTCGTCATGATGGCAATCATACCGCAATTACAGCTATTATGTCTCCCACTAACTGTTGTGTATAATCGTTTCTCATCTTGCCGTACACATTTTGGTGCCGTCCATCTGCAAATACGGTTGTCGGAGAGGAAATTACCCATTGCAGCGATTGATTGAAGGATCCTCACATGGCAGGTTTAGATTTAAAAAAACGCCTGTTTTCGTCGCATTTCAAATCATTTCTACATTTGATGAGTTCTATTTGAAACGAACTAAAAGGGATGAAAATGATGACTTTAATATCTGTATGCACTCGGGGTAAGGTGTGTTTTAAACTTAATGCTGTATTCTAGTTGTGGTAACAGCGTCAGTATCACATTTTGCACTTACGTTGTGATTTCAGGAGCTAATGCATTGACCGTGGCGTTACCAAAGGGGCCAGTTCTTATTTTATTGTGCATCATATGTTTGATCTGTTAATACTTGTGAAGCATTTAACCATGTCATAAACGTGTTCGTCATCCGTTTAACAGAAATATTGATCTGGTACTTTCCAGCGTTTACTGTGAAAAAAAAATGCGAAGTGATTGGTGGCGTGCACCTCAGTATGACTGAACGACTACTACTACTACCACTACCACCACTACTACTACCACTCTTGAATGCTATGGCATTTAAGGTACAATGACTCGAATATCCCCATAATAACTGACCCTGTTTTGCAATCAGAATGTGACAAAGCAAACTCAATCGAATTTGCTCTGATTCACACTGATAGTTGTGATAATCGTTGATACAAGTTCAAATAATTGTATTACATGTTAACTGTATTTGCGATTAATCAGCACTCTACATGTTTGTTTCTAAAAATGAAGAAAATATACAGTTTCCATGATTGCAGATGGGTATGTTACACATCTTATCTCTTATCTCTACAAAATTCGTCAGCATCATTAATATTTATTTTGCTTTGTGAATGAGTTATGATTAAATTGACGCAATCAACACTTTTCAATAACTTTATAAAACGCCAGACTATTTTCTACCTCTCAGTCTATATTGATAACAATACATTCAATCATTGTTATGCGAGCTGAATACGAACAACTCTTATTCTCACACCCTGATAAAAATAGATTTCACTCAAGGAAGAGTATCCTTTATTACGTACTGAAAATAACACCCCCCAAATAGGATCCATGCCCATTCAGCAATGTTTTGCAAGAAACAAGGAACACTCAACTTTGAAGCCAATTTGGTGTGGCAAGTAATATATATTAACATCTCGCAACACAGCGTTGAGACATGGAATCCCAGAAACGTTAGTCAAAACACGTGGCACCTTGTCTGATCCCAATGCTTCGTCTCGGATCAAAGTATGTGCGATTGATGACTCTTCTGGCTACCATGGACAAGCAGCGCAGAGTGCGATAGGTTAGTCTTCTCATCAAACCATGCTGCTGAATCTTGGATTTATTCAATAAGAATACCCCTGCTAAACCTGCGATGAAAGTGAATTTCATAAAGGAGAGCTCTCGAGTTCAGAAGTGAGATCGTGAAGAGGAAGCGATGAGCATGTGTTGGTGTAAACAACAAAGCCAAGGAAGGAGATGACTGGGCGCTGTTCGTTAGTCATTGGGCACGGTGGAATAACATGAAATACGAGCTGCAGTGTTCTTCATCAATTAACGAGAGGATGAAAAAATGTTTAAAGGACGAGTGTGTAGCAATTCCATTAGATGTAAAGAACTTATCAGAATGAACAGTGCATTTAGGGAGGAAGTGAATTTTTGCAACAACTCTGCTACCGCTGCCGGATCTGAGTGCACATCTACTGTATAGGACCAACCACTGACTTAAACGTACCTGTACATTTTTAAAATAGCCTTGCATCAATGTTGAAAGTTACTTAACGTATCTGAAGCCCAATTATCTTTTTGAAGCTTTTTCGCTCACAGCATACTTTTGTTTGATAAAATCTCGGATTATCTCCCACCACCACCACCCTCGCACGCACACTCACCTCGATTATCATATTTTGTTCCCTTATGGCCTGTTGTGGGAAGTGCAATTGAACGGACAGACAGACAAGATACCTTTAAAAGAATTTACTATAAAGGTACCTTCAGCCATGACTGAGTTTTGAGACATACAACATGAGGCCACAAAGATTATGGGTATTGATTTCGATATCGCGGATCTGTTCAATGAAGTCCCACTTGTGGAAGAGATGCTTGAGCCATTGGTTGTGACGTTTATTACTACTCACGAGAATATCGTTAGTAATCAATAATGGCATTCTAAGCGTGTGCAAGAAATATATTGTATCTTTTGTTTTTGACCAGGGATGGTGTTATTTATTACAGATATATTTCGAAAGGGTAAGCCTTATATTCAACTGCCGATTAAAACTTATGTATACACATGTGGTTGATGGTTAATAAAAATGAAATAAGCAAGAAGTAGTTTTTCCGTAGTGATTAAGGGGCATAGTTGTATTTTTTATCTTGACAGTTTGCTGTTTCGGAGAATTTGTTCAGTTTAATAACCCTACAGTTTTGAATAACTGTTTTGGGCAAATCCAGTAAAAACCGAAGATTACTTTGCAAATCGAAATAGTGTTTCACATTTCAGGATATTTTCTCACTGAAAGTAAACCATTCTATCACATGTGTATTAGACTTGTCAAAAATGAAATAATTGAAAAATGTCTTTATTGAAATGCGTTAACTGTCGTGCTAATGGTCACATGACGGCTGCCTGAGGCACAGGCACTGTGCTGGTCGCATGGAACTAGAGTTGGGAGAGTAGATAACCTCGTAAACGCGGTTAAAGTGGAATAATTGGCGTAAAATAGCCAGTAAGCATGACACTAAAGATAAAAGGGAAATTTACTGAAATTAATTTCACCTTTATCCAAGCCTCAACGGATGAATCATTTATTGGATTAAAGAATAGTTTTACTTCAACAAGTTTCAGAATCATTCATTTCCGGTGAAGGGCAAATGTGCTTTTAAAGTTTTGGTGAGACAGTCTTATTGTGAATGTGATATTTTGTTTGTTTGTTGTTTAACTCCGCAGTCATGTGACTGACATTTAATACAATTTATGTAAATTTGATACGATGGCATGCAGCATCTAAGTTAGCGAACCTGATCACAAAGCCATTCAATTCCATTACACGTCTCTTACGTCACATGGGTTGCTGAAGGCGAGTTCTAATCTGTGTCTTCACAGGATGTAAATTTGATGTCATCTCTTTGACTTGAAACACGCAAAAAGCAGAAAACAAAACAAAAAAAGTTTACTCACCAAACAGCAGTAGCAAGAGGTCCGACACCGCTAGACTGAAGAGGTAGTAGTTCGTCGTCGTCTGCATGTAGGAGTTGCGGGCGATGACGACACACGTGCAAACGTTGCCGATGGTACCAGAGATAAAGATGAGGCTGTAGATGATAGTGAGGAGTACGCCTGCTGTGCTTCCCATGTTTTTCGAGCCAAGGTTGGTAAGGAGATAGTCGTCGAGGGAGAAATTGCTCACGACATCACTGCCGTTGCTCATGTTGAGCACAACGGACACACTACCGATCACAGACATCGTAAATACTCTTTACAATGCCAACAAGCTAAGCATCTATCTGAAATGCCTTCCTAGAACAAAAGATTAACACACCAGTGAAGATACACAATTCTTTTGCACAAATTGCCTTGGTTTATGGCCCGGTTTGACATTGGGGTTATTGCAACTGTATATCACAGTTAACCATGGGATAACTGATCGCAAACCAAAGCCGCAGTGTCATCCAATTTCGAGACCAATAATGGCCCACAGCTATTATGTGTCGACACAAATGGAATTCACATTAACGCAAACCGGCTTCTCAAAGACGTCCTTCCCCGGATGCACCTTTAAACTGTCAACACAAGAATGTATTCAAACGAAAGCTTGATATTATTTTGCCCAAGTGGACGTTATTCTGCTTTCATTGGCCAAGACTGACGCACACACCTCTCACGTTCTTGAGACAAGTCATAGAAGCTCAGCATAAGAGACAAGAACTGACTTTGTACACATATTTCCCATTTGGATGAGGACCACATCCGTCACTGATTGTCTCAATCCTGTCGCCAGAAGGCTAAACTCTCCTTACTTACAGACTGGCTGCGGTAGACGGAGAAATTACACAATTCTTCATGAGACGATGGCCCAATAGCTCTCTTGTGAAGGTACAAGTGTTGAGAAAGTAGGCAGCGTGAAGTTGTGTGCTTACGTCAGCACTTTGCGTTGGTGTTGTAAGTAACTTCTGTTGTTGACAACTGAAATTTAAACACACGTTCATTCATCACTTATCTTGTTCATTAGACCTAGCACCCGTTTTCAACAATCATGTTTAATCTATGCAGGACATGGCCAGCGTGGATTCTTCTGGGAGATACAGTAACTACAAAGCAAGACTACTGTAGAGAGATCCTCAAAAAGCAATTAGGTAAAGTGGGGTCTGGATAACAAATTGTTATTTATTTTAAACAGGATGAAAACAAAGGCTCCTCAAGATACTAAATGTGTATGTTTTAAGGCCATTGTTTTAAGCGGAATCTCTCAAGAAAGACATTCCCTTTTTACCAATTGCTTAAGAGGAATTGACAGAAAGAAGACAGTGTGGACTGACTCCTCTTTTATGTTACAACTTCTGAAACTAAGTTAATACCGATAATGTATGTTCATGGCGAGTGTTTGGTTTGACAAAAAAATCAATAAACTCAAATGGGATAATGTCATAGTGTAATAACATCAGTGTATAAATCTCCACTTTGTGTCATATCAGCCAATGCCTTGAGGAAGAAACCTCATAATGCTTCAAAAGGCAGTATAACAGTGTGATTATGGTTGGTCGTACGATTTCACAGCTTGTGGATAAAGGACGGATGGGTAGCACAGTGCTTACAGAGTTTAAAACGCTACAAGCCACTCTTGCTGTCCGGGTTTGATTCGGCAAATGAGTTACCTGCGTGTTGACATTTGGTTGATATGTGCTGAATTTGATACATTTGATAAAACAATATACATACATTCAATCACGCCTGTGGCAACAATATGTGTTCAACCAGGACAGTTATTTATTGTGGTTGTTTTTTAACGCACATAGCAATATTCCAGCTACATTCGACGGTCTGTAAATAATCGACGCTGGACCAGATTATTCAGTGATCAACAACATGAGCATCGATCTACGCAATTAGGGTGCGATGACATGCGTTAACCAAATCAGTGAGCCTGACCACCGACCCCGTCAGCCGCCTCTTACGACAATTATGGGTTACTGAACTGAAATGTAAAAGTGCATCATGATTACTAAGGTTATGATACATCAATAATTATTCACAATAATATATATGTTAAGTTTCGCTAACAACAAAATTTATAATTGTTATTTATCATAATTCAACAGGAATTGAGTGTAAACTGATTCCTTCTCAGTGCATCTTATATAAATAAAACACCGAACCCATGACTTCAGATGCAATTGATAAGATACTGGTACAATGGGACATTCAGCAAACACCGGGATAGATAAATGTAATGTTTTGAAGCACAAATGACTGCATGGATAAATCTTATGTCTCGAAGCGTTACAATTAGCGAGAATCCTGCTCCAGATTTTTCACAGTGTTCGCTTTTCCTAATGTATCGGAATAATTGATGACCAAGGCAGACAACATTTTTCACTCACGAAGTCACTTACAAATTTCGTTTCCGAGTATAAGAGTTTAATCTTAATGAGCTGAGTGCGTGTGGGTGAACACTTTCTGAAGCATCATCGCAGTCTTATCACAACTGCTTGCACCACGAATGGACGTCATTGATTTTGTCCATGTGGGGAATGTAAACAAGGGACCACTTTCTCAAAGCAAATTCAGCGCTAAATTTGGTTTGAGAAAGTAAGTTACGTGTGTAAATTACGATCATCGTAGCTCTAAGATGTCTTTCGGCTAATGTGCCTTGTGCCTCGTTTCACAAAGTTCTCTTAGCGCAGTGATTGTCATATGTGTTAAACTATACGATCGTCTTCACGCTTAGATCGCTTTATGGAAAGAGGCCCTCGCCTTTAACCAGAAGGCAATTCCACCTCGCTTAAATCAATTATTGCAAGAGATGAATAATTTGCCTGCACAAAATATATTAGAACATGTGATTAGAATATATAGACACCTTTAGGCATGATAATTCACCTGTCTTTGCGATATTATTCAAAACGCTTGAAAATAATCAGCCTGGAATATCTGCTGAAACAAATTCCATATTGCATGAGGGCAAAATATTGATGAAATTTAAAAGTCAAGTCCTTCGAAAATTAGTAATAACGTCAGTTGCTCCCGACAAAGTAAGAAAGTCCTTTTCTACACAATTTCATTACAAGAGCATGCGTGTGCTTCTGTTATATGACAGTGGCTATTGAAACAGCTGGATCTGTACCAGACAATCCAGTGAAATGAGCAATGACGCAAGCCGTCGGGATTGAACGCTATTCAATCAACCAACCGCAATCAACCGTATGTAATAGAATACCGTATAAATGAATTTATGAAGAGGCACAAACATCATACCATTCCAATGGGTAGTCCTGATTATTTCCAATTCGGGAACTAGGGCCCATGAACATTAACCAACATCACGTTGAAGTTGACCGAACATTGCACTTAAACATTGTCTTTTAACATTAAAGCACTTGCAAAACCGTAGGCGTGAAGAGGTCAACACATTGTCACCGGTCCTAGTCCTGGGGCTACATGTAACATACGTCCTTCTGGCAGTTCCTAACGCACAGGTGACTCTATTCCAACTGAATAAGCTTCATGGATTTGCTGGAGAGCGTGCTGTGAAAGTGTTGTGGAGCCTTGGTACGCTAACCCCTCCAACCATATTGCTCGAACTAATGAGGTGCACCACTAACGCTCTGATAGTTCATCGGCTGACAGGTCCGACGCGGAGTGATGGTTGATAGGCAAGATACTAGTGGCTGCTTCGCCTTAGCGCAGTCCATTATGACGCAAGTTGACGACAGAGGTAGGGTGTGGGCTGAACGTAATGCTGGGCTTGTAATCGCTTGTTGACAATATCGAAAATCAAGTAGCTATTGTAGTACTATGTCTGAAAGCTTTAATTACCGGTTGAAACCGCTGATTTTGCAAGTCCTGATTGTATTGATAGTATTGGTATTTGGTTGTAATATCGGGTTGGTAATTCTGTGGGGAGTTTGCGACACAAATGCTTCAAAAACAGTGTTCATTTACCACAATTGACTGTATAAGTGAATTTGGTATGATGTATGATTGAATAACATAATGACAGTAGCACTCAGATGGGGCGGATCCAGAGGGGGCTGGGGTCCGCACCCCACCCCCCTCTCTCCCATAAAAAATCCCCGAGAAGCATTTCCCCTTAATCCTTGAACTGTATGATATATGTGCACCCTCCAATCCCCACCCACCCTCTCCAAAATCCTGGATCCGCCCCTGGTTGGTCAGTGATTGAAACACTGAAGACTAAGCTGTAGGACAAAGGAATAAGTATACCCATACGTTTGATGGTGGCTACAAATGAAATAAACAGAAAAATATCGTTCGATGGTGATGTATTTTATAATGGCATTATCTTGTTTTGGCCCTTTCAGTTGTTGGCGATCTGTAGCCCGTGTTTTACATTATACTGTCTTCTTTAATTAAGATGTTTTAGTTTTACATGCTAGTTTTATATTCATATCTGTGATACTCTAGGATTATTACTCTCCATCATCGACAAGTTTTACGCTTCAAAATCTTTTCATCTTTATTGTATAAATTGTTTTCGTCACGATATGACTGAAACATTACCGTCAAATATACTACACATCAAAAGTTTAGACTCACTAGTGTAAATGTAGCCACTTACTTCAGTCAGCTGTTCTAAACTAGATTTTGCAAAATATGCCATACTGTTTAAGGTACTGTTTACACATGAGCTGATGTATTGTAAAACAAATTTGTAATGTTGACATAATTGTCATAAGTTCAATGAATGATGAAACTCAGTGAAAAATCACGAATTCCTAACAGAACTTGACACCAAAATTCAGCTGTTGACATGTACGATATTTGCACATGCTTTTCAGCAATTGGAAGCATGATCCTCATGCAATTCATCTGCATAAGATTTGCAGTTGGTTCCCCAAGTTAGTGGATAAATTGATGTAACCATACATATATTCGTAACATACAGTGGGTGCTTTAAGTGAGTCTAAACTTGTTATGGGTAGTATAGTAAGTCACTCACTCACTTACTTTGGTACTTACATTTTCACTGTTTCGGGGGACTCTTTCATCCTAATTTTGATAACATTTGGAATATTCAGATGCCAGCCACAGGCCAGCTCTGTGGAGATGGTCTGCAAGTAATCGAGTCTGAACCAGACAAAACAGTAATTGACATCATGGACATCGATCATAAGGAAATTAAGATGCTACGACATGCCACGAGCGAAGCCAGCAAGTCTGTTCACTCGATCCATACAATTAGTCACCTTTTACGACAAGATTGTATTCTTATCATGAATCCCCAAGGAAGGTCATTATGGGGATAATGTGTGTCAGTTTACAGATAGTGGACACAGTTGTTGTATTTTTTCAATTTACTTATGTTTTTATATCTTTACTAATGTCTATCAATTTCCAAATTAAATACCCTTGGCAGTTATTATTTTTGCAAACATTCGCAATGTATATCAATTTACAAATTAACTACCCCTAGCAGTTATCGTTGTTGCATCAACTTACCAGATTTTTATAACGTAGTATTGTTATTATTTTAAATTATGGCTAGCTTTGCCTACAATCGCCAGTGGCTGAATAGATGATATAAATCCAGCTAGGGTCCAAAGCCCGTTTTAATATTTTGTTGTTCAATGATATTGTTTTTTGATTGCATGCTAGTTTTACCTTCTCTGTGATATTATTATGTGATAGTATTTTTACTGTTCATCATCAACAGGTTCTATAATTGCTAATTTTATTGATCTTTAGGATGATATATGAATATTCTCGTCACGATATAGCTGGAATATTGCCGATGGGACGATGAATCTTCACTCATTCACTCACTATGGTTGTTGCAAACATACGTAATGTACATTATTTTATAAATTCCCCTAGCAGTTTCTGTATTTGCACATTCACAAAATGCACCCCAGATTGTAAATACCCTTCGCATTTCTTATATTTGGAAATATACTTGATGTGTATCAGTTTACAAATTCACCTCGGATTATTGAATTTACAGATATTATTATTCAGTATTGCTGAATTAAGGATTGGATGGTTTATAACAGTGTGGAATATAAATAACACGGAAATTCTCAGGTCAGAAGTGATGAGCGCTGATATGGCAGCGATATGCGAAAACTATGATAAATGTGTTGACCAGTGGCAATAAGATGAAGCTGTAGGAACGTCCCTCACTTAGTTCGATGACCCAGAATGCTCCAAATCGCACACGATAACCATGTTATCTTCATCTTATTATTCGGCTCTGGAATCAAAGAGGGTAAAATTGATTCTCCCAGCAATTCTTCTCTGCTCCCACTTACCGGAGACGGTCGGTATTCGATCCCATGGTGCATCATTCTTCAAGACGTTAAAAGTGGAACTTGTTGTTACCATGGTTAACACTCTGGGATAAAACAAGGTTGGTTGGCTGCTTTATTGTTTAACGCCGCACTCGGCAATATTCCAGCCATATGGCGGCGCTCTGTAAATAATCGATATTCGAGCTATATGGCGGCGCTCTGTAAATAATCGAGTCTGGACTAGACAATCCAGTGATCAACAACATGATCTACACAACTGGGATACGGTGATATGTGTAAACCAAGTCGGTGAGCCTGACAACTCGATCTCGTTAGTCGCCTTTTACGACAAGCACGGGTTGCTGAAGACCAATTCTAACCTGGATCTTTTCGGGTAGATAAAACAAGGTGTGGTACTTACTGCTTTTGGGTATGTGCATGTAGGATAGGGAGTATGCTGGAGGGAGACGCGAGGGTTGGGTATTATGGTAAAACTGCTGCAGGGCATTTCAGTAGGGTAACACCATAAAACAGCCGACAAAAGTCCACACCACACTACACCTTCTAAAAGAACTGTAACATATGATATATTTGGGATTACACATTTTTAGTAGAATAAATACCTTTACATATGTGATTACACTTTCCCAGTAAGTGGGATCCTATATCTTATATATGTTACATTTGAACACTTTCTAAAAGGCATTGTGTATTCATAGCTTTGGCCACGCGAGTCTTGTCAATTCAAACTCTTTAAAAGAGGGGTACAGAAAGTACTACAAAGGACTACCTTCCATTTTGTGGAAGCCGCGTATGGTGAGAGGTTCAGATAGCAGACTTTGTGTGCTGGCGATTAGGTTCCTCAATTTGAGAGTGTGGGTTCTAATCCCGGATGGGATTCAACCCTGAAATGTATTAGAATTTGTACTTTATTGAGAGAATAACATACATTCGGCTACTTTCTGAAAGGAATTGTATTAATAGCCTCGGTCTTTTGAGCTGTGCAAATTCACACTTGTCAGCTGGGTACATAACGTACGTGGTCTAGATTACCAGTTCTCACACTTCAGTTTTGGTGGAATCCAATCAGCTGAGAAGGTTATATTACTGAGTTTGTGTGCGGGCGATTAGGCACCTCAATCAGAGTGTGTATGTTTGATTCCTTGATGGGACTCAAACCGCCACCCAAAATACTACTACCTATACTTTACTGAGAAACTGTACTCCCAAATATAACATATGTAACATTCGAAACCTTTCCAAATGGCATTGTGTGTTCAACTGGTTCAACACAGGTTCGGCTGAATTAACCCGTAATAGAAAACATGTTGAACAATATTTCATGACCCATATAGGTTCAGAACTAACCCGACATCTTAATCAGGATAAGACCTCCATTCCGACAATGTCATTGTACATCCTTACGGTAAGGATATATTGCGGCGAGAAGCACTGTTGAAAACCGAGATAAGCACAGGTTATTGCTTTGCGTCTGGGTCGAATACAACCAGACAAAGGATAGCAGCTGGGTTTCAATATTTCTTCTATAGATAAGGGCTTACAGAACAGAAAGTAACGAGGGTGGAATAGCTTAACATCAAGATAATATGTATTTACTTTCTATTGATACGATGGAAATAGAAAATGCCATTACATTTATTATAGGGAATTAGTATATTCAGCATTCCTGTGTCGTGTTTTCAGCCTTATTACCGAGATAACCCATACAGATATAATTCTAGGAACTAAATGCTATATTGTTGCGGTATGGAATCGGATAAAACTTTTAATAACTCGGGAAATGATATTGTCAAAATGGGAATCAACTGACAATATGTGTTACTCAGCTTAGTATTTCAATGGATGGACAATATATTGGTTTGTTGTTAAACCCTGCACTCAGGCACATTACCGCTGCATGTTTTCATAACGTGTCCGATGAAAAAATTCCTGACAAGCATAGCGTCTGGCGCCATAAATAGTGTTCTTTCTATCATCAGGTCCAATTTCCCTCTCCATTGATCTCGACGACACCGTCTTCACGTGCATCACCATGGGAGGAAGTAATAAGAGGCTGAGCAGAGAGTGTGAGCAAGGTGTTGGCTTCTTTATTAGAGTATAAAACAGTGCTGTATTGATATGTAGGGAAGCTGTCAGATTATATTTGATCATATCACTTCAACTGTACTTGTGCGTACAGTAAACACGATCTCCAAGCTTCAACCTGCAAATCGCATTTGGTTGATGTTTACTTGACATGCGGTGCCATGATGTTTGATTGATAGCTTAGGTTTTGGTAGGTTTCCATGGTGTTCTTCAAAGAACATGAACTCCTTCTTTGTAAACAAGTA